AGGAAGACAAAAAAGGGGTAATGACACTATGAAAGAATCTTCAAGAGGTAGACAGGAACAGGGCAGGAGAGGGAGGAACACTACACTCAATACATACCCTTTAATATAGTTTTAACTTTTGGAATCCGGTTAATGTTTTATGTATTCTAAAAAACAAAATGTAATTAAGAAGAGAGGAAATTAAATTTGAATACTATCAGCAACAAATGAAATGAACTGAATTTCAAATGAATCATATAACCCCACTAAAAGGGAGGTAGGGGAAGAACCAACTTAGTAACTTCAGGACACAGTATTTTCACTGTATACTTTTCTTCTAAAGAAACACACAAATCTGAACTTTTCCTAGCACTGGTTTAGGTAGGTACCAGTTTTGTACACATGGTAAGATTGAACAAAGGAGTTAAAATATTGCTGAGATCCTGAGTTCTAACAGTACAAAAAGGAAGATGCTAATAAGAAAAGAAGAAGGCAAGAAAGAATGTTGTGGGGCTTGTGGTGAGGTGGGGCAGTGAGCCTGTACATGTGGGAGTGGGGAGAGATCCTTCCACTGAAAGGGACTGGAAGCAGTGACTCCTTAATAGCAACTGATACAGGTTAACACCCAGATTTTAGTTTCCAAATATCATTCCCCAACTAAAAGGAAATAGAATTCCTTGGAGAAATGCCTGATTTCAGGGATGAAGCAAGGAAAAAGCAAGATGGCCCTGGAACATCTCCTTTTGCAGAAAAAGAAAGTATGGGTACATGTCAAAAGGATGCAGCCACCAGCTTACAGGATCTCGCCTGCCCAAAGCTGGAGTGATTTGAACATCAAAATTAATAATAGTAGTAATGACGTATAACCCTTTGAGTAATATCAGAATCGACGTTTGCACATTAATAAATAGGAGGTAGGGGAAGCACTAACTTATGGAAGAGAATATCAACTCATAAACTTAGAAACACGGAGTCAGAAGTCACCATTTGCAACCAAGTTAATCAATGATTTGGTTGAAAATCATTGATGGTTGCTCAAATAGGTAGGTGAAAATTTGATTAGCGATAGGATATTTTTATAGCCTCAAAGTTTCTCCCCCAAAATTACTTATTAATCACTAATGGAAAGCCGGTAACTTCACAGTGGGGAGATTTGGCAGACACTACATTAACCAAGTGATGAAAGTTAGCATGTCCAGCAGCGGGTCCTATGGATGTCATGCAGCTGCTGTATGCACTGAGAAGGGCCCAGCATCGCCTGTGCACTGTTTCCACCAACTATGTATGAGGGAGCCCCAGAGAAGCCCAAACTAAGGGATATTCAACAACATAACTGGCCTCTACTCAGAAAGGGGGGGAAAAAAGAAAGAAAGAAATGCAACGAAGAAGAAGAAATAAGAGAAAAAAGAAGGAAAGAAGAAAATAAAAAACATTAAAAAAACAAACAAACTATTCCAGGCCGGGCACAGTGGCTCACACCTGTAATCCTAGCACTCTGGGAGGCCAAGGTGGTCAGATGGCCTGAGGTCTGGAGTTTGAGACCAGCCTGGCCAACATGGTCTCCATTTCTACTGAAAATACAAAACTGAGTTGGGCATGGTGGCAGTCGCCTGTAATCCTAGCTACTCAGGAGACTGAGGCAGGAGAATCGCTTGAACCAGGGAGGCGGAGGTCACAGTGAGCCGAGATCATGCCATTGCACTCCACCTGGGCAACAAGAGTGAGACTCCATCTCATAAATCTGGAACTATTCCAAATTAAAGGGTGCGTGATGAACGGCAACGACAATCTAATGCAGAGCATGATCACAGATAGGATTGTATATTGTAAAAAATGCTATCAAGGACATTATTGGGACAACTGGTGAAATTGGAAGAACTGTAGATCAGATTATGGTACTGTATTAATTTATATTTCCTATGGTATTTCTTGAAATTAACAACTATACTGTGATTGTACAAGATAATGCCTTTGTTATTAGGAAATACACATGGAAGTATTTAAGGATAAAGGACACCATGTCTGTAGCTTACTTTCCAGGTACAGAAAAGAAAGGGAAAGGAATTGATATAGCAGATGTGGCAAAACGTTAACAATCTGTGACTCTTAGGAAAGATTTTGTGGGAGTTCTTTATACTATTTTTGCTTTTTGATACATAATATTTTACATATTTATGGGACACGTGATATTTTGTTTCAAGTATAGAATGTATAATGATCGTTGTAAAATTTATTGCCAAGGTAAAATGAGGAAACTGAGGCAAGTATAAGAAAATTAGAAACTAATTTATTCAGCTCCCAGGCGAGGTTCTGTGGTCCAGGAAGGGGCCATAGAATTGGATCCCAGCTGTTCAGGTCATGGGGTTTTATGGGGGAGGGAAGGCGATTGACTGGCTATTGGGGAAACAAAGTGAAGGCAATTTTATTGGCTGTCAAGAAGCAGGAAATACCTGGAACTAGTTGCCATTGGTAGGCGGGCGGGACTTTGGGTGAGTTGGCCTTGATTGGTGGTTGGGGAAACAAAGTGAAGGCAATCTTATTGGCTATTAAGCAGGAAATACCTGGAGCTAGTTATTATGGGTAGGCAGGCGGGACTTTGGGTGAGTAGGCCTTCTGGGGGCATAGAGAACAGACTGCTACCGGGCAGGGTCTGATGGGGCTTCTTTAAAAAAAATTTTCTGGCCAGTAGCAGTGGCTCACACCTGTAATCCCAACACTTTGAGAGGCTGAGGCGGGTGGATCACGAGGTCAAGAGATCGAGACCATCCTGGTCAACATGGTGAAACCCCGTCTCTACTAAAAATACAAAAATTCAGCTGGGCATGGTGGCGTGTGCCTGTAATCCCAGCTACTCAGGAGGCTGAGGCAGGAGAATTGCCTGAACCCAGGAGGCGGAGGTTGCGGTGAGCCGAGATCGCGCCATTGCACTCCAGCCTGGGTGACAAAAGCGAAACTCTGTCTCAAAAAAAAAAAAAAAAAAAAATTTCTGAAGGGTTTTTCAACAGCGGGCTGGGGGTTAAATGCATAATTTAGCACTGAATATGGGCTTGGGTCTGGTATGCGTAGGCGGGTGCGGGGAAGCTATGCTGCGAGGCCAGGTAACGAGCTTGGGTGATGACGTAGTTATCAGGCGTGGAGAGAGATGGATGTGTCCGTTTAACCCTCTGTGAGGCAGCCAGCCTTACAATCATGTCAGGGTATTTGAGACATCCATCAGCTTGAATATCATTTCTTCTCTCTCTCTCTCTCTTTCTTTCTCTCTGTTTCTTTTTTTTTTTTTTTCCCCGAGACGGAGTCTCATTCACTTTATCTTCCTGCCTGGAGTGCAGTGGCATAATCTATGCTAACTGCATCCTCTGCCTCCTGGATTCAAGTGATTCTCTTACCTCAGCCTCCCAAGTAGCTGGGATTACAAGTGTGCACCATGATGCCCAGCTTATTTTGTATTTTTAGTAGAGATGGGGTTTTGCCATGTTGGCCAGGCTGGTCTCGAACTCCTGACCTCTAGTGATCCACCTGCCTCTGCTCCCAAAGGGCTAGGATGACAGAAGTGAGCCACCATGTCCAGCCTATCATTCCTTTGTGTTAGTAACAGTTCATGTTCTTTCTTCTAGCTACTTTGAAATATTTAATACATTGTTGTTAACTACAGCCACCCTACTCTGCTGTTCAAAACATAGAACTTATTCCTTTTTCTTAACTACATATTTTAGCTAACTGTATCTTTTATCTGTAACCACTGACTAAGCTCTTTTCATCCCCTCTCCCACTTACCCCCATCCCAGCTTCTAGTGTCTATCATTTTACTGTCTGCCTTTATGACATCCATATTTTTAGCCCCCACATGAGTGAGAACATGCAAAATTTGTCTTTGTGTGCATGTGTTATTTCACTTAACATGACTTCCACTCCACCCATGTTGCTGCAAATGACATTATTTCATTCCTTTTTATGGCCAAATAGTATTTCATTGTATATGCAAACCATAATGCATTCATCCATTGATATAAATTTAAAATTATTTCCAAATAAAAAGTTTAGAAAAACAGATGGAATAAAATGATGAAGTTAAAATGTTGAACTTTGTGCCACCTAAAAATCGTACTGTAATTTTCAAAATGCTGATTTGAATCACCATGACGCTACTTCTAAATGTCAAGGAGGGTTTAAGAGAAGGGGCAGGTAGAGTCAAGATTGCTTGTGGGCTAAGAGTGGGTGGTCATTGTCACAGCCCTGGCAAGGGTTCACTGGCACAGCTGCAGATTCAGTCAGGAACCCACAGTGGCTGCAGTGGAACCAGGTCACCCAACATGGAGGGCAGTTCTGATACCATCATTTCATGCTCTTTCTAAAACCTAATAAGCTTACACTAAATGAATACTTTTCTTTTCCCTTACTATTCCACATGGTAACATAGTAACTATATTCAACCTTCACATACCCACATGACTCTAAGCAGTGAGAAAGCGGTAATTTTACAAGAGTATGGGGAAGGGGATGCTTAAGTGTAGTTCAAGTCTTACATTTCTCATTATCTTATGTCCACAAGTCATTGACTAACAATGAAAATAACATATTTAGTTTGCATTTGGAATTATGCTTCCATGACTCTGTGTGAGACTCTTTTCTGTGGCCTAAACAAATATTAGGCTGTGAGTCTGTGACAGGTCTTAATGAAGTGGATTAAGGCATTTCTCACATTTACATTTTCATAGAATGAAATAAACATTCTAATCTTTTTACGGAACATTCTCACATCAAGCCACAATTTGATTTTCTACCTGTTTGGAATATCAAGTTTTGCATTTCTTTAAGTTGTCGTGTATTTTAGTGAGCAAGTTGGTAAGACAGAAGTCATCCCTGAGATATTTATAATAGTACTTAGAGTGAATTTGTCAAAGGTACTTCTAAAAGTTTGTCTTGGATCCTGAGGAGATATATTTAGTAACTGTATTGAATAAGTTGTCACCTAACACAACATTTCATTGATTTATTTGTGTTATTTTTGTATCTTACCGCAGGCAGAGAATTCAGCACTGGCTTTGGAGAATGAAAATCAAAGGGAACAATATGAGCGATGTCTTGATGAGGTAAGGGGGAAAGAGAGGCTTCTAATCCCAGGCTGGACTAGTTATGATTCCTTTAATCTGATCTCAATATGTATGCATGTTACCAGTCTCCAGAGAAGCCCAAGCTAAAGGATATTCAATGACATAACTGGCTTAATGAAGTAGATTAAGGCATTTCTCACATTTACATCAGCATTTTCTCCTCTGAAGAAATGTAGTGAACATGTAGCCATTGAAAAGGAAGGGTATGTGTGTGTATGTGTGTGTGTCTTTGTGTGTGTGTGTGTGTGTGTGTGTGTGTGTGTCTGCCTCCTTCCCTCCCTAATTCCTTATGCAGGCATCTGTATAGTTATTTTGGTTACTGTTTCATACTCTTGGGCCACAGTACGCTATTTGATAATTTTTTTCTGTTCAATAAGTAGGATCCCTTCCAATGAATGAGAAAAACCACATCAGGGCCTGCTGCATCTCCAATTTGGATACCATTTCTGAAAAAGCAAATCCTTGATAGAGTGGGTGGGGATTATGTTCACAGTTGGCAGCCAGAGGGAAAACATCAGTAGATTCAGAACAAGACAAGAAGAGAAAGAGAAGTGAGGAAGAAAATTGGAGCAGAATAAAAGAAGACAGGGCTAAACGCATGAGTAAACTGGATAAATATTATGTGATGACAATGAAGAGATGATGGCAAAGATGGTGGGTATTTGAGAGTTTCTGAGAGGCAAGGGGAAAACTGACATGCCCGCAGAGCCCTTGTCCTCCTCTGCTGTCACCTCACACCGTCAGGGCCCACACCTACCACCAATGCACCCTGTCTCTTCCTGCGAGGATTGGCCCTTCACTCCCTGACAAGTTCTCACCTAGGACCTGTCAGTGACTGGAGTTGTTATTTAAATGAGATCACTTCTTTAGTCATCTGTCCAGCACCTTCAAACTTTACTGTGTTCTATGGAATTCGATTTGAGATTTGGTACAATGTGCCTGATGCAGATTTTAGAAAGAAAAGAAAAACTGCATTTATCAGTGGGAAGTGCCATTATATCTTCAGTCTTTTTCTCCCTACTATCCATGAGGGAAGCCTCTACTAACAAATTCCTCTTGATATTTCTTACCCTCTCTATCCCACTGTCCTTCCATGTACTGTCCCAGAAGTCAGTGGGGTGATCTATAAGGAACACATGCTCAACTCCCAGCAGTGATGCCACGTATATAACTCTTGTTCCCTTCAAACTGGAAGCAGTCTCTCTCCTCTGAGGTCCAGTAGTCCTCTGCGTTTGCCACACCAGTGATTTTAAATATATGATCCCAGCCGGGTGCGGTGGCTTGCGCCTTTAATCCCAGAACTTTGGGAGGCCGAGGCGGGCAGATCATGAGGTCAGGAATTCAAGACCAGCCTGGCCAACATAGTGAAACCCCGTCTCTACCTAAAATACAAAAAATTAGCCAGACATGGTGGCATGTGCCTGTAATCCCAGCTACTCGGGAGACTGAGGCAGGAGAATCGCTTGAGCCCGAGAGGCAGAGGTTACAGGGAGCTGAGATCGTGCCACAGCACTCCAGCTCAGGTGACAGTGTGAGAGTTGGTCTCAAAAAAAAAAAAAAAGTGATCCCTGGACCAGCAGCATCACCTGCTAGGAATGCAGATTCTCAGGTCCCTCCCCAGACCTACAGAATCAGAGACTCTGGGGTGCGGCTCAGCAATCTATGTGTCAACAAGCTCTCTCAATGATACTGGTACACTTGACAGTTTGAGACACTGTCATCATCACACCACTTTGTATTGGTTACTTATGTGGTTGAAGAACTCCGAAAATGTCCACAGAAAATTATTTGTTTAATATTAGATATATTAATTGTTTAGTATTCCCGACCACATAGAAGCAAAATGATATTTGCAAGTCTCTGCCCTATCAGGTCCTTAAAATACCAGAATAATCTTGACAATGTCCAAAGTTAAAAGAAACACTGAAGTTAGTTGACTCTGACATGGCTCAGAGTCTAGTGAGGCCAATTCAGCAGCCCTCCTTTCTCCCCAGGCTCTTGGTCCAATCAAAGTTTAGGGCGAGAAAGACCAAATGGATCCAAGGATATTTAAAGGAACACACAGCACCTTTGTGTCATATGTACTGATCAGCAAAGTTTCAATTTATCCTCCTGCGCAGAAATTTCTACTGAGACTTTATCTGTATTTAGAAGTCAGATTGATGTGACTCATGCCACAGAAACTTTGTCCCAATTCTCCCACAGGTCAACCCTTCCCATCAATCAAAAAACTCACTTTTTTTTATGGAAACTCATAGTCTGTTTCCTGTGTGTTTCCCATGCTTGCATGCTGTAGGTTTCATCAGAATTTATGGGACAAAATGTCAGTTATTATCTACAAAATCATTTCATAGAAAGTTTCCACTGAAGACAGACTTTTTAGAGGGAGTGTTCCTGTGTTCTCAGTTGCGAAAATTAACTGTTGCCAAAGAGGTGATTTGCAGGAAGGGACTCCCTCTAAGCAATACGCATGTTTCGTATTCATGAATACTGACCCCTGATTACACAAGCGGGTTGTTTTATAACTAATTGCACGAGGGTAGATAATCCATTTCCACACATTGTAAGAAAACACTCTCAATGGGGTAGTTGAATGTAGTAATAATGCCAACTGGAAATTCTTTTCAAAAGGCTTTTTATACTAATTAAACAAACTAACAAGGTAAGGCCTCATGTACATTTTTTTCCTTGCTAGTGGGTTTCATCAAATGTACACACGTGGATAAAATCTAAATTTAAAATATTCTTCAGACTGGCACAGTGGCTTATACCTGTAACCACTTTGGGAGGTTGAGGCAGGAGGATGACTAGAGCCCAGAAGTTTAAGACCAGCCTGGGCAACACAGGGAGACTCTGTTTCTACAAAATAAAATTTTAAAAAAATTACATTGAAAAACCTAGGTGAGTGTGGTGGCATGTGCGTGTGGCGGTAGCTACTTAGGAGGCTAAAGCAGGAGGATCGCTTGGGCCCAGGAGGTCGAGGCTGAAGTGAGCCATGATCCTGCCACTGCATTCCAGCCTGGGTGACAGAGTAAAACCCCATCTCAAATACATAAATAAAATGTTCCTCGATTCTTTTTGCACTGATTGTTACTTTCTTGGAAGTGAGGAACATATTGAGGATTTGGGGAAAACACTTGAGAATCTGTCCAGTAAAATAGCACATTTATTCAGAAGGTAACAGACTCACATCCCTAGATACACACACACACACACACACACACACACACACACACACGCACACACACCCTGGCTTGCTAGGCATGCACATACACAAGTGCAGACACCCACAAATGTATATACAGACAGGTGTGCATGCATACACTTCATCATCACCGCTACTGCTCCCGATCTCATCTCCCTGCCTTGCAATACAAAGAGAAAACCAAGGATTAATCTTATTTTACCTTGGGAGTTCAGGGGTTTGCAAGTTTGAATTAAGTTTCTTAGTCCAGCTATTTGACAGGCACTTACTGGCAAGCAATGACTTGCTATTTATTCACAGTATTGCCTTGGCCACAGTTTCTTTCATACCTACTATTCCCGTGTGAAGACGTAAAATGACACATTTAAAATAAGTAAAATAACATCTAAAACCCCTGCATTGCACTTTGATGGATTCACTTGTATCCTACAAACGTTTACTGGGTGTCAGCCTCACCCGGGCTCTGAGAGCTCATGGCACTCCCAACCTGGCGGGAGAAGTGCAAGGGATGGACAGTCACAGAGTAGGGAAGTGAGAGAAAGTCACAGAGCAAATGAGCTGCACTGAGGACTTTGGAAACAGAATGCAGTCACCAGAGGGCAGGAGGAGCGGTGGGTAGGTGAGCAGAGGAGGGGGCAGAAATAGAAAGGGTAATTTCAGCAGTAGGAGATGAAGTAGGTAAGGTTTCAGATCCAGAACAGCAGGTGCTTCTCATGCTGACCTTCTTGGTGGACTTACCTGGAGACCTTGAAAAATACTGCTGGCTGTGTCACACCTCAGAGATTCCTATCTGACTCTGCTCTGGGGTGGAGCCTGGGCTTTCTGTTTTTTAAAGCAGCACAGGAGATTATAACATTCACTGGGGTTAAGCACCACCACAATTAGATTATCTGGATGCTGTGCTTTAGAGAGCATTTTCAGAAATTTTCAGGAGAAGGAGGAAAGCTCCCTTCACCAAGTTTAGATATGGTAATACAAGAGCACAGACCCATGTGGAAGTTTTGAATTACTTCTGATTCCACAACAATGTCTGAGGTAATATAAAGCTACAAGCAATAAAATAAAATAAAATATATCCCAGTGTTTCTCAAAGTGTGTTCCTGGGAGCCCTTTGCCTCAGAAAGATGTGTCTTGGTTGCTAAAATTGCATATCCTTAGACCTCATTCAGACCTTTTCGATCAGTATGCAGGGACAGGAAATTGGCGATTTTCACAAACGTTCCAGGAGGAACTTCTGCACACAGAGTTGGAGAAACTGCCTCTTCCTCTTCAATCAGAGCTGGGCCCTTACACTTAGTGATGATGGAATTGAGTTGTTTTCTAACCTCTACACTTCAGAGTGCAAGGACGTTGAAAACTAGACCTTTGGATGCAGTTCAGAGATAGAGAAGAAAAAGAATTTTAAGTAAGACTAGAAGTAGTTTGTTGAGACTGTCTCTTACGTGTCTCTCTGGTCCACGTGCTACATGCCTGGACTGTAGAATCATTCCCGGGACATTCTCAGGCATATCCCACAGCTGGGCCCTACATCATCTTTAAAATCAAGGTCTTAATAGATGTAAATGGAAGACAATCTCACTTGTCACTTTCATATGTTCAAATGTTTCATATCTTGTTTGCCCCAGATTCTGACGGCCTGGAGGCAGTCTCTGCATTCATTTCCTCATTATTTCTGCAGGACCCAGCAGATTTCTGGCCCACAGTAGGAGCCTAATGCTTATTTGTTGAATGACTAAATGAATGAATGGAGAGTATCAGCTGGAAATTAATTTCCAAATTAGTGTTTCCCCAAATCCCACATACATATTTAGACTAATTTCTTCAGTTATCTCTTCAGAGATGAGCATTCATTTATTTTGCACTAACCCAAATGGTAATCCAAAGATTGATCAGCTGAAAAAAAACAATATTAGACCCGCTTCAAAGACTCTGATTTGAATTAGAAGAGAACTTCATGGGCTTTGGATTAGGAAGACTAGCGTTCACTGTTCACCCTTTTTCAGTGTTCTTTGGGGCTGTGTATTTACCTCTTTGAGTATCTTACTTTCTTGTTTGTATCTTACAAGATAGTTTTACAAAGTAAATGAATAATACAGATGCTTGATGACTTATATTTATACATGTATATTACATGGACACACACACACACAACACACGTACATACCCCTCATGCCTTTACAAATAAAATCCCTTATTTTTAAAACATTTTTTCTTAACTGCTTACCTGAACATGCATTGTATCTTTCAAAGTTCGACTGGCCTGATTCACATTAGGGTGACTGCTTTATATCAGGTCCCATCCTAGGTGGTTTCACTGATTATGTCTGTCATCTCATGCCTTTTTCACAGCTTTAAAGGTGGGTAGCTTCCCTATTTTGTGGCTGAGAAAAGTCAGGTTGCTCTCCCATCCCCTGCGCATGTTAGTGTATAGTTACCATGAGCACTGTTTCAACCCAAGTCCATATTCTTCATGCTTTCTCCTAGCTGCCTCAGTACAATCAACCAAGCTCAAAAGCCTCTCCAAACCACATTTTCAAAAACACCTGCTTTTTCTGATGAAATTTTTCTGTTACCTTGCTGACGCAACAGTGGCTTTGCATGGGGAATTAGCTCATGAAGGTCTGAAAGCAAGCCCACTAACCAGGGAAGGACTGTCAAAGCATAGAGTCTTTTGAGATCCTCATTCCCTATCCCCATGTACCTGAAGCTTCTCTACCCTCCACCCCAGCCCTTGGCTATCTGAGGATTGGCTCCCTTTCTGAATAAACTCCTTAGTGTGGCTTCTTATTCAGCTTCAGGGACTGTTTTGCAATAAAATAACAGACAACTCCACAGCCCAGCTTTTCCTCCCTCTGCTTGCCCACTTCCAGGAGAGTACATGGAAGAATCACAGCCCCTGGAAGTTGTTCAAAGAGCAAAGTTTTGTATGGGTCAAAGATCAGCTATGTGTTAGAGGAGCTCAGTTGTCTGAGAGGATTCTTCCTGAGAAGGAAACAGACCAGATGTACTCGGCACTCTCCTTGGCATTCCTGTCTCACCTGCTGCCCTGCTCCATCTCCTAGGAGCAAAGGGAAGTGGCCTCCAGGGAAAGCCTAAGGGAGGCTATACTACAAGCTAATGGCTTAAGGATTGCCAGCTTTCCTCGTCCAGTGTGGCTCAAGTACCTTGCAGTCTAGCCCAGCTGCTGCCCTTTCCCTGGAAAGGAAAGCTGGCAGATGACATTGGAAGTGATTTGTTCTCACTAGCCGGCCCTATGGGTGTGTGATTATTTGCAACCCAAATGCGTAGGACATAATGCTAGGTGAGGGCAAGGGTGCATTCCAGGTATTATCTTCTGAGTCTAGTAGAGGTTGCAGGCACAAGCTCCAAGCAGCTGTCCTATTTATGCATCAGGGAAGTTAGCTATTAAAAGCAGTAACAAAACCTAGGACACTGTCATTTTAGCCAGCATGGAGGAAAGCATCTGTATAATCTGCCTGCTCTTTTTCAAAGAACCAGTGAGTCCTTCTGGGTAATATAACCTCATGTCAGTATGTAAAGAAATAAGGCATTCATGTATCTTTGTTCAGTTTTCAAGAGGAGCAAACAATTTTCCAAAGTACATGCCAGAAGGAACTGTGTTAGATATAGAGTCTCCAGGCCTATAGGGCAACTGCCCAGATTGCGAGATATAACATATTTCCTCCTGTGGGCTGTTAGAGTTCGGATATTAGTCCGTGTCTCCTGTTAAATCACAGATAGAGCTATTTTATGTGACCACTGTTACCAGAATAGTTTCAGTGAGAGACCAGTTGGAAGAAAGAAAAGAAAATACTGATATTGGGCAGTTTTATGAGAATGTAAATCAAATCCAAAGTTTGAGATCCAAAAGAAGTAACTTATTTATGGCATAAATTAACTTTGGTACCTTGTTCCTGATTCAACCTGCTTGAATAGTTCAATTCTTCTGTTTTGTTTTGTCTTATTTGCCAACAACAACGACAAAAAAGATGATACATAGTTTGATTTCTCAGTTACTTATGAATTGGAATGAATGCTATAAAAATGACTTTCACTATTATACTATTGGTCAATTTGTGTGGGTTGAATAACATTTATCACTGTTGCAATCATGTACAAATAAAGTGGTAAAGAGACAATACTGCATCAGTTAATGAAAGTATGGTTTATTTTGGACACAGTAGTTCTTGGGTAGACTTCTGTAACTTGCGCTTCTCTCAAAAAAATACCTAAGAACACGTTTTCTTTAAAACCATAGTTTCATTGAAGAGCCTTTCTTGTTTATTCAATGTCTCAACATAACTTTAAAAAGACTTCTAATGGGAAAGAAAAAAAAAATCCTTCTTGTGCATATAATTTAACTAATCAATTACAGATCATCTGATTTTAGACATTTACTGCTTGTGGTGTGAATGTCTTCTAACCAAAAGTTGGTAACAGCCTGTGTTTTAATTTTCTATAAGACTTACTGGTAGCCAGCTTTCATGAAGGATGTACTGTTTGTCAATATTGAGTCAAAAAACAATTAAGCTCCATGGAAACATTCTTACTATAATCTGTTCTGCTATACTAGAGAGAGGAAGAGGCACAAATAGTTGAGCATCACCAAAAATAATGCATTACCAAGAGAAAAATAACAGGAAAGTGTCCCTCAGTCTCCAGTTGAATGTGAGAATTACCATGATGATTAGGTGTTTATCACACTGGGTTATAATCGTGTTTTTGCCAACTCGCTGCCAGGTGTGGGTCTTTGAAGTCAAGTATCATGGCCCAATCATCTAGCTTTGCAAGTAGATACTCAGAAAATTTATATTGGATTAGTGAGGGAAGAAATGAATGAAACAGAATGTCTTATATCTAGGATGTTTAATTATTCTGATTTCGTCTTTCATGCTGTCAATTCAGTCATCATATTAAATGTTTACAGTTTATGCATTGGCCAAAAAATATGACCTACTTCACCTGTCCACCTTAATATTATCAACAGTCGCCATATGGCATAGCTTCAAGGTAATAGTGATGTTTAGTAGGTAAGTCTATGCAAAATACTTTGAAATCTGCAGCTGAAGAAGAAATCCTAGCACAAAGGCATACAGTAATAATGAATGGTTACCTGGAGAAAATGCCAGATACTTGAAATACCAGGAACACATGTTACTGGTTTTACATGCGGTCCTTAGCTGGAATTGTGTTATATGCCCACTCTTAAACCAATCACTAGAATTGCCAAGATTGGTTTAGATTAATCAAGTTTCACAGCCTCGGGCTGAGGAGTGATTTAGGTTCTTCTGTGGTCCCAAGCTGCCTGATACTTGAAGAAAATGAGGTCCCTGAAAATATTTCTAAGAATTATATTTGATTGGTTACTGGAAGAACCTCAAAATATCAGTGACTACCTTATTTCTCTCACATAGAAGTTTGGCAGACAGTACAGCTCCATAACATCATCAGGACAAAGCTTGTCCTGTTTCTCTGTCCAAAGATACTTGATATGTGACTTTCGTTGTCAGGGTAGCTGCTGAGGTTCTAGCCATTACTGTACTTCCATTCCTAGTCAGGAAGAGGATGAAGGGTGAGACCCTTTCTTCTTTGAGACTTCCTGTAAGCCCAAGAAAATAGTCTGCTTATGTCTATTGGCCAGAATTTTGTCACATGGGGATACTTAGTTACAAGAGTGGCTGGGAAATGCAGTTGAATGTGCCCAGCCCCAATACATCAGGTTTGTTACTCAGGAAGAAGGAAAAAAAAATGGATGCTGGAGTAAACAACTACCAGATTCTATTACAGGTAGCAACAACAAGGGGGTGGCATAAGAGAAAACACTGACGATGAAAGCAGGACATATAGGAAACAATGAGCTGTCCCTTTTCTTGACCATTCAACCTATCTCTCTTGCAAGTAATGTTAAGCAGTGAAATAGACAGCAAAGGAATAGGAAGGAGAGGCAAAGGACATTGTAAATCAGCAAAATGTAGAAACTGTGTAACAGATAATTAGGACTGTGTTTTGCACTATATCATTTTTTAGCCTTCTTGGAGTATAAGAAGGGATATCATTTTTCCAAATATGGAAATGTGAAAGTTAAGGTATGAATGATCTCTTAAGTGTAACCATCTTAATTAGCAACAAGGTCACCTTTGGAGAAAGCAAAATATTACCTAGAAGGATAGGCTTATTATGAAAAGAATCAGATCTCTGGATGTAGAGGAAAGAGGTAAATGACGAGCTAATTAGCTACAATCAGTGGTGAGAAACTTATTGGTAAATTAGAGTTGGTGCATATAAAGTCTCATTATTATAAATGACAACTTTTTCTTTATTTTTTAAAGGTAGCCAACCAAGTTGTTCAAGCTCTGCTTACTCAAAAGGTAGGTCACTTTCTGGCTTTGTTCTTTTCAAGGCACTTATGCAACTATATTGTAACTCATGTGGTTAAGCTAGAAAATTGTGATTGATAGATGCAATACTTTTGTATTTATTCACTTAGTGAAAATTGTATGTGTTTTAGATAGCATATGAGGTAACATCAGTGGCCAATGGAATTGTATAAAAAATTCAAACCTTCAGTAAAGTAATAGAAAGCCTTTTGAAGATGAAAGATTTTTCACGTACCCAGATAAGTAACAAACCCATGTTATTTTATTTAGTAAATACAAACTTCCCATAAGTTGTGAATTCTCTCAATATCTGTAAAATGAATATCTTCTTTTGGACAGCATTAACATAAATCTAAAATTCAGCAAGAGATCTTCGAAGTTAGGGAAGTTATTTAATTTTGCTAGTTCCTCTTCTGTAATATGGGAATAACAATTCCCACCTTCTGGAACTGCTGTGGTGATCCTCTGAAAGGAAGCATGCAGAAACAGTTACTACAATAGTATGTGGTACATATAAAATAGTGGTAACTACTGTGCCGAAATTTCCATGCCTGTGCATTTGCTGCCTTGTCATTCTGCCTTCAGACAACATAATATCACATCTAAGACCTAGCTAAGCACGGACAGTAAATGCAGGCCAATTTTGCCCAACTTTGGCTGTTTCAGTGAATTATACAGAATGTTTTCCATCTCTTGCCATGATGTTTCTGAGAAGCTAAATTTTAGTTCCCTCAGATTTTGTTTACTTTGATTTCTGTATGTGAAATAGATACTTCTTCACCAAAAGAAACTTTTAGATCCTGCACCATATTCAGGATGATGTGACAAATGGCAGCAAAATAATTTATGCCATTTTGATTTTTTTTAATTGAAAATAATTTTATTAGCAGTTGACTGCTTCTCACAGAAATGCTTAAATGAATATTCTTTATAATTTATATAATATAGGCATTTTGGTAAATTATTTTTCTAGACTTTCTTCCCTACTACTTCTGTCAAAATGTCACAGTTCCATCTACAAATAATTTTAACTGCTTTCAGTTTTACACTAACATGCATAAATGAAGAGATTTGAGTATATGTATGTAGAGCTAGAATTAGGTTCCATTGTGAGCAACAGAGATCCGTAATGGAGTGGCTTAAATAAGCTAAAATGTTAGTTATTTCTCACATATAAGCCAACAGGTAGGCAGTACAGGACTGGAACGGTAGCTCTGCTCCATGAATCCCATGGGATCCCTAGCTTCCATCTCTGTATTTCATGGAATGTGGCCCCATTTTCAAGATAACTTCATGGTTCAAGAAGACTATGCTAGCTCCAGTCATCATATCCACACATTCCAGCCATCAGGAAGGGGGAAAAGAAGCTGTGGAATATGAAGAGGATAAAGGGCATACAGCAGCTGTCTTTTAAAGAACACAGCCAAAAGCCTTCATACATTACTACATACCTCTCCTTGAACAGACCATAGTCACACAGCCACACCTAACAAATCCAGCAAAGAAGTCTTTGTTCTGGGTGTGTGCCTGGCTGAAATTACTGTGGAAGAAGGTGAGAAACAGATATTGGAGGACAAATTGTAATTGCTGCCACAACATTTTTGAATGCTTTTTCTTTTTCTAAGGCTTTAATTTATCAGTTGTTTTTCTCCTGTTGGAAACTCGATGCTGACTTAGTTATAAACCTAAGGAATGGAAGGGAGTGCTGTTGCAGCTCTGTGTACAACTGGTGAAAGAATCCTCATGCCTGCTTTTGTTAATGCTGCCTCAGGAAAGAGACAAGGAAGCCGTCTGGTACAATAAAAAGGAAAATGGGACCCTTTAGGTCAGCCACAAAGAAATAGCTACACAAATCCAAGTAATAACTAGTAAACAGATAAATCTACCTTGGTACAGTTAAGCAGTGAGATGCAGAAAGACGTGCTACTGTGAGATAGCTTACCTCAGGGACACTATGAGGCAGAAAGAGATGCTGGGGGCTTTTGGAGATTCCAAAAGAATCATGTTCTGCAGAAATGTGTGCCTCCAGTTTTTATGGGGACTGTAAAATGGCTGTAAAAAGACTAAAATTTCTTTTTAATTAAGAGCACGTTCTAGAATATACAATGTACTCCAAATGCAGATGAGAAAACTAATTTTAAAAAGGAATGTAGCTAGCAAAGACAGAACAAGTCTTGAGTGATTTATCCAAGTCACCAGAAGATCCTTGAGGTGAAATTATAGGCATTACTGTGCAGTTTTAGAGTACATCATTAGTTATGACACAAAGGCAAATCTGCTCTGGTGTCAGCTCTTCACTGGGCAACCAGAAATGCATTTTTCATGGCATATCATGAATTGGCCCAGACAAGCATCCTAAAGTAACAGAGTCTACTGATATGATAGAAAAAAAATTATTTCCATGAACTTAGCAGTTTCTGTTCAGCGTGCCTAGTCAAGTCATTCAGTTTATCTCAAAAACCTGTGGATTCCCTTAAGCGAACAGACTGTACGCCTTTAGAACAATAATACAAAAGTGACCATATTAAACACCGACTTTCTTCCTTCAATGCCTCCAAATCATGGGTCCAAGTATACAAGCAAAATCAATCATTCAAGTTAAACTAATATTTTTATCTGAAATATATTTTATCTTTATTATGTATGAAGTTTTGGAAGTGTCCTTTAAAAGACAGCTCCTGAATGTCCTTTATCCTCTTCATATACCTCAGTTTATTTTTTGTTTTTTTTTTTTTTTTTTTTTTTACACTTGCAGAAAATGTTAACTCGCCTAGGTTCTTCAGTGTTTGGGGTTTTTGTTTTTTGTTCTATTTTGTTTTGCCATTAAGCAAAATATGGAAGAAAGGCATATTCTCTGCAATTATTTTCATTCATATCAACAATCTCAGGTTTATCTGCATGTACTTTGGAGGAACCACATATTTCTATGGTGTGTTTTCTTCACCATCATGGAATAAAGCTGGGTATGGTGGAATCCAGCCACTCAGGCAGAAGCAGAAAACAATTTTATAGCTTGTAGCTGAGAAAACTTCCAATTCCTGCCTATTTCCCTTGTAGAGGGGCAATTGAATCGTCTGTGTCCACTCCTCTAGCCGTGGTCTGTATGGTATCAGGTGCTTGTTTATATTTAGCAGGCATTTACAGCCCGTCACACCCCACATGCAGCACTTTAAATGCGCTAAGTCGTTTTGTTCTCAAGGCAGCCCTCTGAGATAGGACTAAAAAAATAATTTGCTTGTCATTTCAATTGCCAGGCAGTGGCAGGGCCCCTGCTTTGACTATGGCTGTTGCAATGTCAATCCCATGCTCTGACTCACTCCCTCTTTCTTACTCCACGATCCCGTTCAGTCACTTGTTTTTCTCACCGTAGTTCAATAGGACAGAGAGAGAGACGCCATGAAAATCAACAGATGGATTGAAATCCAGCATTTAATTATGATCACGGGGAATAAAATAAAAGGGCAGGCAGCCACAGGAATTCTTAAAACTTCTGGAAGTATTGCTGATCTTCTCTAGCAGGAAGAACATTTAGAGTTTGACATATTTGGAGTAAAATGGACCCTGTATATTTGGGTTCAAGCTTTCTCAAAATCAATGTTATTTGTAACTCCCAAATTCCCCAATTTCAAGGAGGCTTAGTGAGCGTTTAATCTTGAGATTGTCAACTAGCTTTGGTAATGGGCTCAATTGACTTTAGTTACACGAATTGTTTAGCCATCACCCTTAATAAAAGTGGTTTAATCTGAAGGCCTTTAGGGTGGAGACTTGCAGTATTCATTTTGCCACAGGACTCACTACTTCCTGTGCAGTATCCCAGTTCAGTCACACTTTTATGTCACCTGTCTTGCCTGTTAGTTATTTGATGTGGAAGCCCTGGATCAGTCTGAGATGTGACCAGCCTTTTCCAAAAGTGGCTTTTCTTTTTGCAAAAGTCTCAGCATTTGGGGCACAAATATGGATATATCTGTGAAAGCTACCAGGAAAAGGTGTGACCAAAGAGGCTGGTAGTTTTGGTGGCCATTAAGCTTCAGGGAGGGAACAAGGTGGCACTTGAAAAGTCATCCCATGAAGCTAGTGAGAGATACGGTCTTTTGAACAAAAGCTCAGTTTTGTGCAGTGCCTTGGTTTACAGATGAGGAAACAGACCTAATCAGAAGCAATCACTTCTTCAACATCCTGTGGACAATGAGGACTAGAGCCCCGGCCCTCTAAGCCCAATTCTATGTATTCCCATGACAGACACTGTCTCTGAAATAGGTATACCACTATCACTTCATTTTTACACGATAAAATCAGATTTAAATAGTTTTCAATGACACTCCAGTGATCATGTTAGCATATGTCCTACTTCTAAGCAATCAGCATTTTGAAAAATGTACTTCAGCCTAGAGCTGATAAGGATTTTACTCTTCAGTGCGTAAAGTAACTGTACTCCTATACGTAGTATATAGCAGTGGGTCCAGAATCATCTTTAGCCCAAGCACAGGGGGAATTGATCAGGATTTCAGTGTGTGGATCCCCTGGGAAATTATGGTTTGGGATCATTAAGATACACAGGAGCCCATTAGACCAGTGTATCACATTGCTCAGCTATAATCCCTCAAGTCTCTGTTTCCAATTGGTAGTAACGTGAATAGTGTAAGGAAAACAGGTCTGGGTATTTTCTTGGACCCAAACACCACTGTACCTTTTTTTTTACAATATATGAAATGTAGTCGAATCTTCAGCATTATTCCTCCATGATAAATATTTATGTTATGCCCCCTTTTTCTTATCTGAAGACACAACCTTATATTTTTAGTGAAGTTCTTTTCTGGAGACCTGATATATGGCACGGAAGTCATAGAAAAAAAAAAAAAAAGAAGAAGGGTTGTGAGAGAGGACACATGCTATAGCCTCTCCCTTGAGCCATGATCCCAGACTATGGCACCTACTCAGAGGAGAGTTGTTTTGTTTGTAAAGCCTTCCTTGGGGAGGCTGTTCTAGGTCTTGCCTCTGAACTGGCAGGGTCAGAGTAGCTGCTTTTGCATCCAGCCTAAATGTGTTATGCAGTCATGCATTCCTTTATGTCAGTGTGTTCCTGTTGTGAGCACAGAAGAAGCTAAGACACCAACTGCCCCCTTCACCCAGGTACCACAACAGTGGCCAGAGAAACAGTTGTTTCCCTCTTTATATTCATTCTGGTTGTGTTTATGCATGTGTACATAGACACACGAGTGTTTTTGTTCACAGTTTCTTGGGAAGGTAACTGTCTGGCATAAGTTACTGGTAATCCACAGCTTTACTGAAGAAAATAAGAATGTGGAAAACAATGCAAGCGATTCTTTCCTGTCTACAGGCTTTCAGACCAGCTCAGTTCTGTTTGTCGATGGCCATCAGATCAGTGTCACATCCCTAAAGCCTCTGTCTCCCCCGGTGCTGTGTGCTGAGCTAGATGTGCTAATAGTGATGAACAGAGAGTTCTCAGGGTCGATAAATTGTATTCCCACTAATGAACTTTTACCATATCTTAAGTAATAGTAACGGCCTTTTAAATTTCAGTACTTGTATAAAGACTCTCTGTAAAGTATATTGATTTTTTTCATTCATTCTTTCTGTTTATTTTATTTTCCCCATGTAAAGAACTGTTTCAAGGTGTTCTCAGTGTTGTGGCTAAAAATTGTGGTTGCTGTTGCTTTCAGGTCCACCCCCACCTTTTTTTTTTTTGGCATATCCACACTGTATGCTTCTGTTTTCATATCCCTATATTGCAATAGGTACTATTAATGTTTATCTGCCTCACAGTCAAGTTTTATTAATTACTTAATTAGCAGCACTAAAAACAATTAGTGTTTGGGAGCAGAAAGTGTTACATACATGCTAAGAACAAAAATCAATGTGAGACACAGACAGAGGTTGAATTCTAAAGAAAGAAGCAAGTTTCATTTTTTTTTTTTTTGAGACAGGGTTTTTTTGAGATTCTGTCATACAGGCTGGAGTACAGTGGTGCCATCTGGGCCATTACAATCCCTGCCACCCGGGTTCAAGTGATTCTCGTGCATCAGCTTCCCGAGTAGCTGGGACTACAGGCGTGCACCACCACACCTGACTAATTTTTGTATTTTTAGTGAAGATGGGGTTTTGCCATGTTGTCCAGGCTGAAGTTTCACCTTTTAATTCGAGCAGCGAGTGGGTCGCCACAATGGCCTCTGTCAAATGGCGTGTGTGCTCACGAGGATGAAATGCACACTCCTGATAGTGCGCTGCTGGATCTTGCACTCTTGCACGTCATTCTGAACATGACGTTTCTTTTCTCTGCTCTCCATTTGTAGGCACTGATCAGTTGAAAACACCCTATACATAAGCTTTACCCATTCAACTAAAAAATGCAAGGAGAGTTGAAACTGCAGTGGACCATACATTGGCCTGTTTCTTTGCCCGCTTTAAATAGAATTAATACTACTGGATAAGATGATGCATGCCTATCAAGCCTCAGAGGAGGCTTTACTAGGGAGATCTAGCTTCGCCATTAGGTTGATACAAGGTTCTGAACAGGCCCAGGCACCTCTGTGACTCCTATTTAGGCACAGAGCTGTGGCCTGGGCTCTCCCTTGCTAACAGAGCCATCAGCCCAATAGCTGCCCCATGTCAGAATACATAAATCTTTGAAATAGAAGTGTTGAGAAACTTAAACGCTCTTTATCACACCAATCACTAGAGAACAAAATTTGCCATCATCATCCCATTTAGCAAAATAATTATAAGCACTTATTAAGTTCCTACTATACGGGGCATTGTGCTAGGTGATGGAATAAAAACAATGCAAGAGCAATATGCTTGTGTGGCTATTTCAGTATCATCTTGTGCTTGCCTTGTTAAAAAAAAACATGTCCTATAATTGACAAGTCTGGAGCACAAACGAGAAAATGAATACAGAGTAATATAGGCTAAACGTCACAGAGGAGGCATTAAGGGCTGATGGGAGTTCAGAAAATGGAGCAGGTTTTGAGAGATACCAGGTAAAATGTCAGAGAGGTGATAAAGTTTGAACTGGACTTCAATCAAAGAGCCAAATGTGGGCTGAAAGAAGAAAGTGGATAAAAAGGAAAAGTAGTGGAAGGAAAAGAGAAGAAGGTAGAAGGAATGCAAAGAGCTTGAGAGAACAACACGCCAGACCTTTGTTCTCTGCTTGGTGAGAACAGAAGACTTTTTTTTTTTTTTTTTTAACATCAGGAAGTAGTGAAAGACAGTTTGAAATGTAGAAAAGGGTCAGCTTTTGAAGAACCTTGAATGTGGGCTTTATTCTACCAGGTCTGTCTTGAATCCCATCAAAAAGGGCATAGATATTTAAGTACCATAAGTACTTTTATAGCAGTCAGTTTGGAAAGCAGTTCTTATACCTCGGCTTCCTCCGTGAGCTGGGGAAAAGGTCTCTGTGGTGTTTGAACTATTCAAAAAAGCTGCTCCAAACAGATGCCAGAATGAGCTTAGTGTGCTTCTTCCACAGCACCAAGATCAGAAAGCCCCAGAGGCTATGGAAATGCATGAGTTCAGAGGATGGGCAAGCTACAAGTGGCCTCTTAAAAGCCATCTCTTCTGAGTTATTTCTCTCCCACTAAATGTACCACTGACTCTATTAGCCAGCACCGAGAATTTCAACTTGTTTTCACAAATGACAATGAAAAACTCCATCAGAAATGATAGTTTCTTTAGCTCATCAAATCTCTTTTCACTGCAGAAACGTTGTTGTTGTCCTTGTGTTTTGTGCTCTGTGATTGCTTTTATAAAGACAGTGAAAAAGGCAAAATATATAGGTGAAAACTTAAATTGACTTTATATCACTAAGATTTACTGTCTTCAAAAATAGCATGCTAGATTAATGCATTTCTGATTTCAAGGTGCTTTCTTTAAAAAAAAATTGGTCTTCCTTGTACATAATAATTCTATCAGACAATGGTCTGTGGAAGAAAACGTTATATGTGATTTATTTCTGGAGGCTTTGAAGAATGAAAATACTGTTTTTTACTAATGCATGTGATATATATAAAATATGGTTATAATATGCAAAGACATCCTTTAGTTATAGACTTTTTCCTCCTTCAATGTGTTTGTTGTAGGATCTAAGGGAGGAATGTGTGAAGTTGAAAACAAGAGTGTTTGATTTGGAACAGCAGAATCGAACACTAAGCATCCTATTCCAACAGCGAGTCAGACCCACTTCTGATCTGCTCTTCCAGGTATGTGTTTATCTGGAAAACAATCTTTGCTACTGAAATGCTATTTACAGGAAGTTACTTAAGTTTGGAACTTGGCAACATCTTCATGGGCAAGGCATATTGCATCAGAATCCCAATTCTTTCCTCTCTCAAGAGATGTCATTAAATTTGAATGTGTCTTAAGTTCTTGACTTTAAAGCTACATGCAGATAAGGAAATGCACTAACAAAGAATAAACAGGTAAAAGGGACAATCAGAAGATGTTCTGTGGTAAACTAAATGGAACCATGGAAAAGAATTAGGAAAGAATAGATTGCTTTGGGGACCAGCATTAGTAATCTTGCATACTGTGATAAGCAAGGAAGGATTTTATTTAATGCCAAAGCATATATCTTTATTTCAAACTCTTTATAATCAAAAACACATGTGGGGTTTGTTTTTCTTTCAAATATCTCTCTAGGCAGAGTTCCTTTTTATAACAGAACTCCTCCTGTTTCTATCTCAGTATTTTTATAGGTTGTCTTTTTCTAAGTGCTCTCACTGAACTATTTTTTTTTTACTTGTCTTCATAACATGGAAAGCTGTGGAAAGGCAAGCCATTTGAATCGATTTGAGTCGTTCCTGACAAAACACTAGAGAATATGTCCCACTGCAGGGAAACACATGAATGGGTAGAGGGGTCTGCAGGGCTGACCTTTGCTGTTTCCGATCTTTGTGATCCTATTAATGTGTATATTTGCTCAAACAAGCTCCCATGAGCTTTGCCCCAAGCCCTTCTGAGGCTAATCTGTCAAAGGCTGCATTGAGGTTTCACAGGGGCAATGTGCAGTGTAAAAAGGGCAGCCCACTGCGTGGTCTGATTGGCAAAGAGGAAGGTCATTCTCCAGCCTCTGGTCATCTTGTACTATACTGTCCAGCACTGTAACCACTAGCCATGTAGGGCTATTTAAATTTTAATTTTAAAAATTTAAATTAAAATTAAGTTCCTATGTCCAACTAGCCACATTTCAAGTCATCAAAAGCCACATGTGGCCAGGGACTACCTTAGTTGGACAGCACACATGGAGAACATTTTCATCATTGTGGAAAGCTCTATGGGACAATATTTTTCCAAATGATCCAGACTGTGTTGCTAATTTACCCTCTGAATTTTGGCATAAAAATCTTAGGACCCCTCAGAGAAATAACAGGAAATTGTAATTCACTTCAGAGAAAGGAAGATGTTTGGTAAGCTGAACATCAAAATGTAATTTGCCCCCCAAATTAAAATAAAACAGCTCTCTGAATTATAAAATAGATCTCATCTCCTAAATTAATTTCCTCTCTGCCATTTATGTTTGAACATAATTCATAATTTATGACTCAAAAATTGTGTGGGGTGGGAGGGAAGTCATCTATCTCTATTATGTTTTCTGTTCCTGACCACCATAAATATTTGTCATAGGGGCTCTTGCATTTATGAAAAGTTGTGTTTGTTTTGCAATCTCATAATCAAGATTCAATATTAGAATTACCTTTAAAAGCTGTTGCGTGTTCATGATTTTTTTTCTGTTTTGCCTGTTGTAACTTGAGGCTTTTTTGAAGTAGGGTTTAAGTCTCTACAGACCATGTTTATGAATTATGATCACTTATTTGCATGGTAAACACCTGTGCTATGGATATATAAGCTTTTCGTTGGCTGTCACAAATTTCTTAAATTCATACCCAAAGATCGGGGGATGATGTGTATGCTAACAATAGAAATCAGTGTTTATTCATTAGGCGTTTTCAGCCAACATACTTCATATTTTTCCCTAAATAGTACTCCCTTCCAGAAGCCATTCTAATTTTAAAAATATTTTAAAAGATGAGCTGTTAATAGCTTTGTGAAAAATAATGATATAAAGTGTGATACCTGTCCCCTTAACATCTTGGAGCTCATAATCACAGACAGAGGACATCACTGGCTTTTCAGATGGTGTGTTAATTATTTCACTCATAACTTTTCATTTTCTGACAGTACTTTAGGGTTTAAGTGAGAAACAAAATATATACAGTGGTGCTAAAATACAAACATTCTAAACTTGCTTTACACCTATGGATGCTTACTCACGTGTTGAGTGAAATAATGAACAAATAAGAATTCATTGTTCTGGAAAGTTATTTCACATAAACCTATAAGAGGTCTATGCTCTCACTTCTCCTTTGGAAGTTTACCTGGCTTACATGAATGTTGAGGTCCTATGCAGTCATGTGTTCCAGGCCAGTATATCTGAGAAAATGGTGGATGCAGGCAGCAAATCCACCAGTGTGCCCCTGCTCTCAAATATTGTAGGCCCTGTAGGGACTGCCCATGGCCTACGGATTCATTATAGCAGATTTCTAAGTAGCTTTTTGCACTTCTTAGAAGGCTCCATTAGTTATCATCTGCTGAATACAGCCTAATGATTCTCTCATTCCAAAGCTACTACCTGAACAGAAATATAGAAAGAAGAGTTATGAACATGCTGTGATTTGAGTGGACAGATTATAAGTAGTAGAAAGGAAAATAACGCATAAGAAACAGCAAATTCTTTGTTCCTTAAAAATACAGAATAAGAGGTTATATGGATATCATTTAGTCAATTCTTCTGTGGGAGAAACAGAAAGGGAGCGCGCTGCGGATTAGTTGACAGATTCTAGTAAACCTACAAAGGGAGCTAAGTCCGTGATGGAAATAAGAAAGGCATAAGCTGAAAATTAAAATCTTAAGATTGACAACAAACTTCTCTACTGATTTCAGTTTCTAGAATGATTTCTCTGAGACTATGGGTGGCAGTAAATCAGATTAAGAAGACCCCCCCCAGTAATAAAATCAACATTGTAACGAAATTCTAAGGAATTGAGATGGCAGGATAGCAAACAAAATCCAAAAGCAACGGTTCCTACAGGGACTGGAATCCCTAACTAAGCTCATTTGAACCTACTTGTACCGATTCACTGATGCTCACCATTTCCTCTTGTAAATCACAGGGAACAATATCCTCAACCTAATGACTGTTGGCAGCTAGTGAAGCTCTCTACCAGATGCACATATTTCTCTTACCAGTTAAGCTGAACTCCTGCCAAGAATGGGTTATTTTTGTAACTCAGTAGGTCTGCTACAGTAGTTTTTGTGATCAAATTAAATATAGGTGTCTGGCTGGTTCATGCCTGTAATCCCAGCACTTTGGGAGGCCAAGGCTGGTGGATCACCCGAAGTGGAGTTCAAGACCAGCCTGACCAACATGGAGAAATCCTGTCTCTACTAAAAATATGAAATAAGCCGGGTGTGGTGGTGCATGCCTATAATCCCAGCTACTCAGGAGAATTGCTTGAACCTGGGAGGCAGAGGTTGCAGTGAGCCGAGATCATGCCATTCCCCTCCAGCCTGGGCAACAAGAGCAAAATTCCATCTCAGAAAATAAACAAATAAAGATAAGTGTCTAACTATAAAAAAAAAAAAGTTGTGGGTGATCAGAAATTGTCTTAAATGTAGAACAATTCTGCATGCAAACTGCTCTTCAAGTGGTTTTAAGTTCATGTACCATTGTTAAGGAAAACAAAAATTAGGAATCATAGATAATGTATACAGTGGTTTTCACTAAAATAAAATCTAGAGGTTTTCACTAAAACTTATCAGATGAGAGCTTTTTGTAGGACAAGAAGTGAGAATGGGGAAAAGTTGTAAAGCAGCAATTCTGTTATATGGACAGTGTTCTGCTTTTTAATCCTATTTAGCTTGTTTCAGAAATTCTTTCTTTTGTTGGCTGCCAACATACGAAGTAAGGGAAACTCAATATTAAGCTGTTAAGATGGCTATATCATTTCTTAAAATCTGCGGAGCCTGGTTCTAAATCAGTCACTCCCTTCAGAAGCAGACATGGCATCTGTTCCTTGCTTGCTTGTTGGTTGTGCCTACCTTTCACTAGACCTGCATTTTAGAATTGCCCAGTGCTGCCAGAATGAGTGATTGTAATTCTGCTTTCAGGTAAAGATAGCCTATATTAACACTGCTGAGTGATTCATAAACTATCAACAAATAGCACTAACCCATTTTTTTTCCTGGTCTTAGTGTCTGAAGATGTTCACCAGTTTTCTATGTACAGTAAGGCAGCATGCTAAAATGCTTTTGTTCAGTTCTGTATATTTGAAAATAGCAGTGTGTTCTCTGATGGTTACCTGCAGTGGCACCCTGTATGGAAAATAAAGACTTATAGCCATTAAAAAAAAATGCCAAATTTAAGGAAAAGATACTAGAAGATTCCAACAACAAAAAGATCCCTGAGCAAAGAAGCAGCCTTGGCCTTACCGAAAATGTCATTTACCAAATAGATCGTAGTACTTACCATGTGTCAGACATTATTCTATAATCTTTAGGGCACTCACCAATTTAATCTCTATCACAGTCCCATGGGGCAGAACCTATCATTGGACCCATTTCACCAATGGGGATACTTTGGCATAGACAGGCTAAGTCCCATAGCTGGTATTTGACAGACCAAGGATTTAAAACTGAAAATCTGGTGAAATTAAGTCCCCCTCTTTTGCCTCCAGTTAGTGCTCCCTCTGAATGGAACATGAATGGGTATGAGGACAATTTTCCTGATTCACTACTGTAAGTGACATTTGAATTAACTGGCCCACCTGGGATTGAGTCAGATCAGAGGGCTTCTGCAGTACAATCCCAATAAGGAGCCTACCATCTTTACACATTTCTGAAATGTGGCATCTAAGATTTTCCCCTCCCTATGTGTTCTGTCTTTGTCTTGCTTTGGACACTTGTGTAATCATTATCCTGATAGGATATTATTCTCATATTTTTAGCCTAAGACAATGTTTTCTTTCCTTTTTCATCTGATATTTCAAAAAGTCCTACTACTCAGATCCTTAGGCCAAATTAGGAAGAAAGGAATTTTATAGAGTAGATTACTCACATCAACAGTGAAGGGTCTGACAGCTTAGAACCAAGGTGCAAAAATTTGCTGTTACGTCTTAGAATGCGGACTTTTCGTTTTTTCTAG